TGAAATCACCATTCAGTCGCATCCACGTAATCGATACTCGTTCATGTGCAATACTACCGTAACACAGTTCAACGTGGTTCAAAGAGTTAAATGAGATCTATCGTGAATTGCGTCGAGGTTTTGAGGCAACTGGGGTTAATCGTTGCGAAAGGGTTGGTTTTCGTTATTTTCAAAGCTGATCCTAGAACCTTCCAGCTTGTAGGTCTCGAAGTTGATACTCGAAGTACCAACAGCAGACGTCCCAAACGCGCCCAGCGGCAGTGTGAGATGAATGTTTCATACTGAGTACTCAGACCGCGTTTCTAGGTGGATTTATTAAACGAGAAAAAAGAGAGGAACGCCCATAATCGGCGTGGCGCGATCTGTTCCATGTCCTGTGCTATCCGAACGCAACGTTTGTTGGAAAAGGGAAACTCGAAGACGCCGGTGGCCGTCGAAACGGCCCAGCCAATCTCGCTTTCAGCCTCTTCCCACAATTGTGTCTCCTCTTTCAGCACGCAGCGTCCCAGTTTTGCGGCGAAGCGAGGTGCACGCACATTATTACATAGCAGAAACAGAGTCGAGGCCTAGCCCTGAACCGCGAGTCAACGAACGCCCAGGAAAAGGCTCAGCGGATTACAAAACTGTTCCGAGTAAGATCTTCGTACACCTGAGATTAATCTGGGCTCGCTGTGCTCTCCGGGGCTCGTTAAGGAGGATATCGCGTGATCAGCTTGTTCGTTAAGGACCACGCGGACGAGATAAGTCAGCTTAAATGCAGTAGACATTTTCGATGCTACCTGGTTGATCCAATTTTTTCAGCGTTCAACGAAATGGAACAATCATATACGTTAGAAAGAACTTGTCTCGTTGAACGTGATTATCGAGATTGGGACCGTGTATTCGTTCGTGGCTCGAGTTTCGTTTCAGATCGTAGTCGGAGTAATGATAATAATCAGTAATCAGATTAAAATATAACTTAACTTTATATACTATACCAGTCGCGCATACTCTGCCTTTAGAAATGTACTCGTCGCATAGTTTTCACCATCCATTTCAGGTTACACGCTTCTGAGAGAGGTCACAACAGGTAACTGGTTAAGAAGTTTGAAATACATAGGTCAAGTTGAACGGCTTGTTCGCATTGAAAACGTTCGCTAAATAGAAAGCGAAACCTCCATTGGCTGGAAACGGATAACGCGGAACACCTACCAGTGACTCAGGAAACAGCGTGAAAACGCGAACGTGCAGCCTTCGAAACGAATCGCGATGGTCAATTACATTTATAACAAATGATGTCACGCCGCTATGAAAAGAATATTAATTGCTTTGACTCATAGACGTTGTTCAACGACGATTTTTCTCATTTGTCGAATGATTAAGCGCTGACCAAAAATTCAGGGAAACTGATCGACGGTATTCGTTAAAAAAAAAATTAATCTTTCGATCGAAAATAAGAGAGTACTTTTTTTAACCTTTTAAGCAAAAGGTTTGTTTCACCTGATAAAAGATATTCATGCGGTAGGACATTAACAACTATTTAGAACGATGTATAAATTAATATGTATTAAATCTAAGTTGTAATTGATTGTAATGTATCAACATTTGCGCCTACGTTAGCGTGTGTAATGCGAACGCGGTGGTGTTCGCTCAAGATTGCAATAGGATGACAAGAGAATTATGTGTAAAAACGTCATACACATTTAACATGGTGGAAGATTAAATCGAGAAGACAGCAAAGGAAAACTGGAATCTTTAATTCGTATTTTTTAATCAAAATTAATTGTTAAAAAAGCGAAAGGTAATGTCGGTTTTTAATTTTGTTCGCCGAGGAACATAGCCACCTGGAAGCGAACAGACGAAACTAATTTTGAACCTACGATCAGTGTGATACAGAAGACTCCAGTTTCTAATCGAATATTTTGCAATTCCGTTGCCAGATATCGTCAATACATTCTGCAAAAATTTATTATACATTTTACTCTTTTCTTTACATATTTATATAGATTTATATCGTATCAAGCATTAATACGCGGCCGTAAAAAGGATGAGTCGCCATCTAGAGAAGAGTCTAGAAATTGTTTCGCTCCGGACTTTGATGTTTTGCCACCGACATGCGCCTGTCTTCGACGACCCACGTTACACGGCAGCCAGCGTCGAATAGTTTTTTGCGCACCCAGTACGCGCACCACGCAACCCTTGCGTCGTTAGAAGGGTTGATGCGCGTACAGTTCGAAATACGAAGGATTGCTCGTCGGAGTAATAGCGAGCTAATAGCTGCGAACTTGTAATAAAATCTTTAGGTTTTGATCAGCAGGAACAACGCCAAGAAGACATGGCTGATATATTCAAAATTAGCGTAGTTTTGACGCGAACGTAGTAAGCAGAAAATTGGTAGCCAGTTATGATACAAGTTTATTGAATCACTGCTTCCTCGCAAATCAACAATGACAGTGGGCCCTTGAGTTGCTTCGTTTTGTTTTGCGCATGTTTCATAAGGTACTAAAATTCCTTTCACGCCCTTGGCTCGTTTCACGTTTATGTAGCCGTCGATAGAATGATGACCATGATGATAATAATAATAATAATAATGATAATAATAATAATAATAATTAATGATAAGAAATAATAATAGCGATACTTATAATAATAATAATCATAATCGTAATAGTAATAATAGCGACAATAACAATATACAGTAATAACGAGATATGCTAATTGTGATAATAGTCAATAGATAACAATTAAAGTATACATATGATTGTTTCATAGAGTTCCTCGTGATATAGCGATCAAATATCATAACCAATCGTTCTCCGTTCGTTTTCATTCGATCGATATACTTAATTTCTATACACGTTAGAAATTTTCCCTTTGATTCGTGATATGGCATTTTGTGACGCAAATGAGTAATGATTAACGGCGCGTAGATTGAGTCTGATCTCGTACAATGTCCCTTTCTCCTCTTTTTTTTCTTCATTTCGTTTGTTGAGAAGTTTCAATCATCCTCTCCTCACTCTCTCTCTCTATCTCTCTCTCTCTCTCTCTCTCTCTCTCTCTCTCTCTCTCTCTCTCTCTCTCTCTCTCTCTCTCTCTCTCTCTCTCTCTCTCACTCACACACCGTTTTTCTCGCGATTCGATTTATCAAATTTTAGAGCTGCTCTTTGCGATACTAATTAATCGATTCATATATAAGTATATAGTTGCAATATATATACAGTACATATTTCAACGACAATTCGTCGCAAAATAGGGTAGCTTCAGTTATTCATACGAACGATCTTCCGTAACGAAAAAACACCTCCGATGCGTTCCAAGTTCATTGAAATTTCATTATTTCGTTTTTAAGCTGCCTTCGCCTTCGATTCTCTTCTACCATCTCGACAGACTTCACTTTCGACGCTTCGAATCGAACTTGTTTGTCTCGATTCCGTCATAGTAAATTAATTTTCTAAACGAACCTTCATGTCTGCGAGACGAAGGCGACGCGTTGCTCGAGCATCGTTCAATCGCGATCCTCGCATAGATCACCGCGCGCGTTCCTCTACTTTCGTCCTAATTCGTCCAGCGAATACAGTACTGGTTCCCTTCGCGATCAAAATACTGGGACCGTCGGTTATCTACAATCGAGGGTCGGTAGAGAGTTTGTTCTCGGAACTGCTCGAGATCAAACGGTGCCTCGAGGCTGGAGTGATCCATTTTCAAGTATCCCTAACGTATCCCTTCGATCGAGAAGCGGGACACTACCGTACAGAGTGTCTCAAAAGACGCCATATATTTTTCGGAAATAATAGAAATGTTGGAAAAGTAACTATGAGACTATTCGTTACAATGGATCAAGGCTTAAGACGTATTTGGTAATGATTTTCAAAATTGTAGGCTTTCATGTTTTAAATTCGTGATTTCATAAATTCAATCTAGGAAAACTTGGATTTAACCGTGACAATACAAAAACTGGACGTTGAAGAAAATCTGATCGATTAAAAATGGGTTTAACGAAGTACTTCTTCTTTCATGATTTGGTTTTAGGGTATTCTTTACATCTCATAGTTCTTCTATTAAATTCCCATTATTTTAAAAGTAGATGACGACTTTTGACAGTCGCTCGCACGCATATTCGAGATGTTACGCGACAGTGTCGGTGTGCATAGATACACAGAGGAAAAATAATCCGTCACCGTAGGATGAAAACAGCGTGTCCTCTACTTCCTTGGAAAAATAGTTTCGAAACGATTCGGTAATCCCGAAACATTCAGACGATTAAACTGCGACGGTCGCGGCGACCCTATACACGTTGTTTCGGTTTTTTTTTTTTTTATTTACAAATTCACCTAGGTATACAAGCTACGCCTGAGGCTAGAAAAAAATGCGATCGCTCGAGCGCAACCAGGTCGATCTCCCGTGTCTCGAATGAGTTCCAGGGACTCGGCAAAGACAAATTTTCTTCGGCGAGGACGCCCGAGGGAAACGGTCGAAAATATGGAATCCTCCATCTTTTTTTTTTTTATTCATCATTGTAAAAAGTCGAAGCGTTCGCTCGATCAGCGAAAAACACGCTCCATTCCTGGATTCAAATACGAATAGTATAGTAAAATTCTTTCCAACCGATATTCGTCGACCGAACGCAAAAATTTCTCGTTCGTGCGAGACTCGTTACGGAGTCGAATTTCTTCGGTGACAAATACAGTTACAAGGAACACCGCCCAACTCTATCTACGTGCAAAATTTCAGAAGAATCGGCTTATGGCTCTTTGTACCAGTCGGAAGGGTCTCTGTACACTGAAGTTGCTCTAATTAATTGTAAATCCATTCGGGTTCTCCTAAAGTGTTGACCTTCTCACGACTCAAGATTTAACGACGAGAAAAATTGAAAAAAAATTCTATAATTTAAAATTTCCATTCAATGTTAAATAAAAATTGCGAGATGTACCTGCACCAAGGTATAAAAATAAACTATACTTCTGCGAGCACAGGGTGTACACAAGCGTTTCGACCGAATTCTGAATCTCACGAGAACCAAGTTTGTTCGTTTTTTAATCATTTACGTCTCCATTCCTTCAAAACGATACAATTCCACCGTGATCGGAGATAAACGAGCTTTTATCGCGAAGCCAACGTTCTCGCTTTTATTTTAAGCGTCGTCGATCGATGGAGAAACCCCGATCGCGCGCTGACCCTAAGTGTAATATAAAAAGTCGGAAAAATGTGTCTATGTACAACAGTTTCGCATGGAAGGCGAAAAGGGACGCTTTGCGAGCGAAGCGATCTCCCATTATACAATTTGCGCGATTACAATTACGCGACTCGATATCCACGTGACACCCACACGATTACATGGACACGGCGTTAACACATGAATACATTATAACCGTTAGTCGCGCAACCCGTGACCGTCCGTCCCTCGGACTCGTACAAAATCGCGACAAACGTCCAGAAACTCGAAACTCGTTGCTTCTTCTAGGCAAAGATGAAGATTAACTCGTAGATGGCCGGAGACTAAAAGATATTGGCCAAGACATTGACAGAACCTACTATTTTTACCAGTGTAACTGCCACGTATCGTCAAATCAGATTCTTTCATTGTCTCTCTCATCGCGGCTGCGAATGTACATCGAAGCGTCGATTTATTTCTAATCAGAGACGAACAAAATTTTATTCACGCGTTCGTCGTGTGCGTTAAATTCCATCGAATGCGATATGTCCCCTTCGAAATTCTGATCCTCGTCCAACCAGCGACGAATAAAAAGTAATCCGTCTTTCGTTCGTCGTTCGAAATTGCCGTCCACGTAAGAATTTCGCTCGTCTCCGATTCTAACCCTATCGCCTATCTAACCCTTGACACAGGACGTGCAAAAACGTTCGAAAATCACCACCGTACCCACGTTCCCCGTTCGAGGATGTCTCGAGCAAAATAGCTCGCGCTACTCTAGCTGTTCTATCGCGTATAAAATTGATATATACCACCTGATCGTCCGCGCTCGAGTCGATCGTCGAAAAAGAAAAGGATAAAGTGTAGAGAGTATTCGTGTGTGCGCACCGTGTTCAGAGCTTGGCGTTGGCCAGCTGTTACAAATATTAATATATTAAAATACTCGGTGTAAAAATAGGTATGATACAGGCGCGCGGGGCACGTCGTCGTCGCGAGTGCCCCGTGTCTCGGACAAAAACGAGCCGTTCCCTTCGTCCTTCGCGAGGAGTCCTGGCCCTCTTCGATCGTCGCGGATGGGAAATCCGCGATTCTCGCGAATACGTCGCTCCTTATCGAAAAAATTCTCTCCGCGAGGCTCTCGTTGTCCGTCGATCCGGTCCCACGCGAATCCTCGAGGTCCTCGCCGTCGGTTCCTTCGCGTCCAACCCTGCGTGGGACCGAGTAAAATCGCTCGAAAGCCGTTTTCAGCGGTTTTGTCCTCGTGATTTTGCGTCGAGGGCACCCTCGCGCCCTCCGGTTCATTGCTCCTCGAGTTCTGGTTTACGGTGACGGCACTGGGGCGTCGCGACGCTCCTCGGGCCTCAGGTCACGTCCACCACGAGTCCGTGAACCCGATCGTCGGCTGGCTGCTACGTCAGCAGCTTGAAGAACATCAGGGCTAGGGATATGTTGATGAACAGCACCAGCATCACGAGCTGCTGCCGGGAGAACCAGTCCTGCGAAATTACGGTTAGAATCAGTCGCGTGTTTCCTGGGGGGGGATCCTCGGTTTAGGCTGTCATAGATCGAAAGAGAGAGATACAGTGATACAGCCAGTCCCATAAGTATTCGTACCTTCTATTGAAGAAATTTGTCATGATAGGTTTGATGTTTCCAAATCAATGTTTCATTATAAATATGTACACGAATAATCTTTAAATATTATAGTGAAAAATTGATTTGAAAACATCAGATCTATCATTTAATTTAGTACTGACTGTAAATCCCAAATGCTAGTCCGAAAAGGGTCAGGATTGGCATGAAACGATCATACGTAGAAATTCGTATGGGTGGTAGAGATACTCACTTTAACCTGAGGACTGACCAAGTAGAGCAAAGGGTTGGCACGGAGCCTTTCGCTCTCGTCGATCTGCCTGCGGATCTCCTCCCTCCTCATGCTGCTCAGAACGCTGACTTCCTCCCTGGAGAGCGGTGCCGTGGCCGTCAGCTGGATGGGCTGCGCCACATCCGGCAGTGACTTCTTTCGTTGAAGGGATATCGCCGCCGCCGCCGCCGCTGCCGGCATCGCCTGCACGAAAAAAGGAAACGAGAAACAAAGAGAGAGAGGTGGCCCTCGGACGCGATCGATCGCGTAAAGCCTTATTTCTAAAGGATGGAAGTGTCAGCCTGACAAAGGGATCACCGAGACGGTATCATCCCAATCGAGATCAACGCAATGCGCAATTGGTCACGCGATCGACAATCATCGTGATGGGGAATTAATTATCCAACTTCCCCTAGTGTTTCAGCGTTAAACATTTCCCTATTAACCCAAAGCAGGTGCTGATATCAAAATACGAAAGTATCGGATTTTATGTATCGATACACCGTGTCCTTATCGGAAAAGCTTCCCACCGACCTCGAGGAATCTCGAGAGCGAATGTTCCCTCTTAGTTCCTACCAACATCTGTCTATTCTCTACAGTAGAACTCCAACGGTAACAACTAAACTTCGTACAAAGTAGATAAATCACCAAACGTAAATAGCAAATATTTCATCTACGTAAGCGATAACTTTTCTACAAATCAACATTTTTCTATCAAACTAGGCATTCTTGTACCGCGACGTGCGCACTTTCTATTAAAGAAATAAAAATTTCTAATCCGCTTTCGAGAAAAATTCAGTCCGTCATCCAGTCGTAACCCCTCTACGAGATTCGAGCTTGAAATTGCGCGTTGCCTCGTCGCACAGTGTCTTTATATGCGCGTTAAATTCGGTGGTGGAAACGAACCAGTCACGCTTTTACGACGTAGGATTCCAGGGAAGTTAGACTTTTATATTCGCTCTCGGATGAAAAGCTGATCTCCGCTGGTTCGTTCCCAAGGTTCGACGGTAACAGTAGCTAAATATCGGTGGGGAACGTCCACGATAACATTCGGGATTATGGTTCCGCTGGTTACAATGATTTCGAGGTTGTAGTTCTGCGTAAAAAATAGCGGCAATTTGTTTGGCGTGGCATCAAGCTCGTGGACGTTTACGTGTTCATTAGTTCCACATTTCGAAGGAGCAGAGAAAACGGGTTGGCGAAGGGAGGAAGACAAGGAATCCTTGGACGAGTTCCAAAACGTGCAGCCTCGCTCGTAATCGGACGTAATAATGATGCAAAGGTCAGGAATCTGGTCCGGATACGTTGACCTTCGACACCAGACTTTCCTCCGTGTTTCGGAGAACGCTCAAAGGCGAGGAGAAATTGATAATACGATCGATTAATTTCGACCAGTGTACTCGTCTTTACTCGCGTGTTTCCAGCTGCGGGTCAGCGAGATTCTAGCCTCTGTCAAGGCTATTTCTCCAAAGCAATATCAGCGAGGAAAAGAAGCCTGACTTCAATTCTCGATGCGTGTTAGCTTTTCTTATCGAGGTTCATGATAATCCCGGAGTATCGACAAGAATCGTCTCGTCGCTCGACGTAACTCGCGCTGCATCTGAAACAGCTGATGCCTTTCGACAGCGTTCGTCGTGATTCGAGCTGTTGGTCTTCGACGTTGAGAGCACCTTCTGCATTGGCTGTCGAAACATAGCATACAGAGTACCCTGAGAAGCCGGTATCGCGATTGGTGTTTCCATTAAATAGAAATGGATGTCACCGACTTGTCCTAGGTTCTTGTAAACATCTCGAGTTAGAGATGAAATGGGTGACAGGTTTTTCTTAGTCCCACGTGGGAATGTGAGCGTATTAGAATCGATGACTACGAGGTTCATAAGTGTTTATATTTCTATTGAATTTTGGAATTCTACAAGCCTTTTAACGTAAAGCTGAATGCTTCCAAGGAGCCAAGATTATCCTGACCCACGTAGGAGACAGTAAACGCGTCAAGATGGTTGGATGAGACGAGTTTGTTAGTACACCTAGTCGAAGAGGTCTGTATAGGTTTTAAGAGAAGACGCATTCGAGCATCGCGACGGGATGAACATTGAGAGGAGCTTTATCGCTCTGTTCGTACCTCCACGGGAGGCGCGACGATCCAGGACTCCGAGGCCCTCCTGGCCATGAGGGCAGGGCTGCATAGTAGCGCCTCCTCCTCCTCGTCAGGCTCTGACCAGAACATCTTAACTCCCTGGGAACCCTTCCTTTCCAAAGTCCTTAACGTTCCCGGATCGATTAGTGAGGATTACCTCCCTTTACCTCGCCCGAAGCACCAGACAATACAGTTTTACCAGCCACAGATTCTTCCTGAACATTTCCACGGCGTTGTTCGCGCGACGCCGCGAATTTTCCTTCGACGAGTCCCAGTTCGGATTGTTTTCTTGAATCGCGACAGCGAAAATGGAAATTCGGAATTCGCCGCCTCCTGGTGAGGAAGCCAGGCCGCAGACTGATCGGCCCTGGCTCGTTCGACCGAAATAGAGAGACGCCCCACTATTTTCACTTTGAAATAGCACCGACGAGCACCGCGTCGCGACGCTCACGGCTGTGGACCGACGACGATGCCAGAGCCTTGTCGATTCGCTGCTCGTTGATTTATGACAGCTTGTCGTCGCGCGGCTCCGCGGTTAGCTTTATTTCGGAGCCGTTTCGCTTTTTCGCGTACGCGCGTCGAATGACAGGTATCGATAGCTATTTTTGGAGCCACATCTCGGGGATGGTGTCGCATTCTCGGCGACAGAAAAGGACGAAACGAGGGTGGTACGCGGAAGGAGGATTTTGAGGAGACGTTGATCTTACTTTCGGGGTCTCGCAAGTGGCTAATTATTTAGTGTCACTGTTGCTACTGTAGATATTAACAAGATTAGGTCTGTTTCTTTATAACACGTTGATTGCCCGATTAATACTATTGGAAATTTCTGCTTCGATACAATTTTCTTTACAGACTATTGGACATTTTCAAGAGTATTAGTCTGGCAGTCGACGTGTTGAGATATAACGACCCGATTACTTTTTGCGTATTCATGTTCGTAAAACTACTTTCTCAAAAAATCTACCAGTGGACCTACCATTATTAAAGGGATCCCCGTCATAGAGAGACAGAGTATCGAAAAGGTCAAGTCCGCCGGTTCTGATTAATTAAAGGCTCGAACAGGTGATTCTCAAGCGGACGGTAAGCAGCGCGTAATGCAGAGGCGGTCGAAGAAAATTCTTCGTGGCCGTTCACGGTCGAAACGCCGACCGGAAATATCGTTACGCAAATAAAGTCGAACTCGCAATTTGCGTTGTCTGATTCACGGTACTGGCATGCGAAATAAATTCGTCGAGGTTTTCGCGAATTCCGTTCCCGTTCTTCGCACGCCAAAATGGGGCTCGGCCCACTTTATTCGTGTTTTCTTGTTTCCTCATTGCGTTTCGCTGTTTCAGGCTTTTTTGAAACGTTCTCAACATCGTAACTTTCATTATTTCGAGTCGGAAACAGAGGATTTTGCAAAACAAACATCGTAGAATGGAGCTGTCGAGCAATAACACGGAACGAGTCGCCAGAAATTGCCGTCCGAAGAAACACCATTTCGACTCTTTTCGTTCGAGGAGTCTTCAGAAGTTTCGTCTTGAAGAAATTCAGGATGAATTGTATCGATCGGCCTCACTTCTTATGGTTTTTTACTTTGCTCCTTCCATTTGCAATTTTCTAGTTTCGAGAGAATTAATTTTGCGTTTCGCGAGGTGGAGCTCCGTGAAACTTTAATTTTGAAGCAGTAATCCTTTGCATGATGCAACGACACGCATAACTTCTGGGAGTCGGTGTTTCCCGTCTCCTCATCCGATGACAGTTACGAAAATATGGCATGTTGTTCCCACGCCAACAGGTATTGTTTCGATGCGTTCATTCGATATAATTTGTCCCTTGGCACGTCCACGGGGACCAATTAAACAACTGTACGTTGTTACGTAAAACGCATAGCGGTTAGATTTTTTCGTTGGCAGAATTCTCGAAAATTTCGACGTGGTACAAGAGGTGCCATTGAACGCGATACTTCGACGCATTGTAGACGCTGTTGTCTATTCTTGCACCCCGAGTCGCGATCACTATGAAATTCGATAAAATCAGTCTGTCCGTGCACGGAATTTTTTTTTTTTTCGATGCAAGGCAATCGAAAATTGGTGTCCGTACTTTAAAACAATTTCTTTTTTCGCGAGAAATAATAATTTGTGTTAAGCAAGAAAGAAGGTGAAGATAAGTCAGAGGTCAAGGGATGTCGAGGTTCCTCCAGATACGTCCTCCTAATCGACATGCTTTAATCTGTCGGCCAATAACAGCTGTTACATCATATACATAAATACATTCAATACATCGAACCAACGTCTGTAGTATCGTTGTGTAATTAACGAGACTTTCCTTCGATTACTCTATGTATCGTTAAAATCGTTTCCTCGGAATGTAACCTGGAAGTACGTAAATCGTCGAGTGCGTGCCTCGGCTACTCTCGTTTATCCACCTGACTTTCTTCTAGCGTGAGACGAAACTCCCTACGTTGATTTTTTTGTTGTCTCTAACACAACACTACGAACCATCTTTATATTAAAATACATGAAATCTCGCTATATATTTCGTTTAAAGTCTCTGTAAATCGTTTCTATAGCCTCACCGAGTACGCCGCGAACGAAACTCGAGCGCTTCGCGATTTTATCCAACGCGAAAACATTTCTGAATCGAGACGAGTCGATCGATTTGCTTGTGGATAAAGAGGATTCGAAATTAATTGTCGCGAATCACGGAATTCGTTCGCGTCGTACTCCATGGAATCGTATTGCATCCCATATTCTCGGTAAAAGACACTTTCGAAAAGCTTGGCACTTGTACAATCCCGACACCAGCTCCGCGTCACACCCGCGAATCCGATATTCTGCATAAAAAATAGTTTGAAAGGTTCGAGGAACTTGAGGGAGAGAATTCAATTCCGACCGAGCTTTGTCCGCGAGATCGTTACAGTATCGCTAATGTTTCCAGGTTCCATTCGTTCGTTATCTCGGTTATCTCGTGATCGTCAGGCTTCTTCCTTTCTTTAGGCACGACCGTTGTTGAGGTACAATTTGCAACCACGTTGAATCGAAAAATTCGTGCGAGCGAACCAACACGAGGATAAGCCCCTCCGGAGTCACCGTCGAGTAAAAAAAGCTCCGATTCACGTTCCCGTTAGAAAGAGATACAAATTTTCGTACAAACTCTTAATTATCATCGGATGTATAGTTTGAGCAACGCGATGTGTTAGAATTCAGCGAAGAGTAGTAATTTTGTTTAGTGATACAGCAATCCCTCGATTCGATTGGTTGACAACGGATGTTTATCGATCGATCCACTTGACAAGATCGAAGGTATCGATTAAAACAATGTTTGTCCGAGAAATGTCTCCCGCCACTGCTTGAATTTTTAAATCTTTTATCACAGTACCATAGAGCATCGGAAACCATAACGTTCTGCGTTGAACATTTCTTTTTTCAATATCTCTTATGGCCCGAGAAATGTTAGCAAATATATGAAGGATGAGAATCTTGCAGCAAGAATAAAAAAATACCTTCTCTCGATGTAACGACGCGAGTGGACTCGACCAGCGTCGCTTTATCGAGGGATTACTGTATATTCGTATATTTAAGAAATTCAACGTGGCGCACGAAAGGCGTTTCGTAATTGTACTGTGAAAAATCTTGATCAAAATAGAGAATCCTGATATATTTATGCTCGTATGCGTGCATGTATGTGCCTGTATGAGAAGTCAGTGGACTGGGCCGTACCTAATGCACAAGATTAATACTTTCCCTCGTCGGGTTTAATTTCGACGTGGAATTTAATGCTTATAGAGGTATATGTCGTATTATCGTTACGTATTCATAATGCACATTTGGTACCGACGTTTGTGCTTCTTGTCTAAAACAAAGATCAACCCCGTCGAGAAACATTGCGCTCCTTGGTTCGATAAACTTTGATCAACGTTCGCAGCAACTCATTTATAAAAATTGCATGTTATAATTGTATATGTAATATATAATAGTAGATAATATATCGTACGATAATATACAATATATCATATTTTGTATGTATATATATAATATGCAATTATATGACCGCAGTCGCGTGAAACTTAAGTGGCTGCTCGGGGCAACTCGATTTCGTCGCGACTAAAATTACGGGTGAAATTTTTAAAAGTGCTAAAAAAATAGTATTCTTGCTTAATTCTCTTACCGTAGAGTAGTAAATTCTTTCGCGGTGTGTTCGAAACAAGGTATGAAAGGTTGGTAATGCGTGATGTAATAAAAAATTATCGTCGTGCAACTTTCGATCTCGAGAGGGTTATCGTCGTCGATCGTTTGTACAGTATTACGACCTAAGTATCTCACACTACATGTCTTTACATACTTATTTCTACGGAATGTGTATACGTACAGGGTGGACCGTTCAAATGGGTGCGCCGGAACATTTTCATTGTTCCTGGTTAAATGAAAAAATTATTCGCGACGAAGTACAAAAGCGCAGACGTAGAACAATGCCTGTTCAATTTGCGTCAAGTAATTCTTTCGTTAGAAATTGAAGTTCCGTTTTGTTATCACAGATATCGAAGACAACTCAATGCATAAAATCGAAACGTTGTCGATAAATTGTTGGTTATCAAGACTGAATTGGTTGTTTTCATGGAACGATGGATTCCTGAATTTAATCTTAAACTGAATTCCAAATGTGTGCCAATTTACGTGGTCCATCCTGTATAACGTGTATGCGTGTATATACATATATAATAGTATCCCATCCTGTGGAACTGGTACAATACATTATAGATTTTACAGAGTGACGCTACGTCATAGAAGCATGCGTTAGAAAAATAATGTCTCTGATCAAAAAACAGGAAAAAACAAGCGGCGTGGAGGTGGAGGATAGAGATTTTCCACGTTAAGTTCGTCGATGTCGACGTGAACGATGGACAGGAGCACGTGACTTTGTCGAAGGGGTTGGAGAATGCGTTCCGACGATCAACCACCCGACAATGGCGGACGAAAAATGAACTCGGAGATGGGGAAAACCTTGCTCGAATAACAGACGACGAACAAAAACACAACGTAGTAATTTATCGTCGTTTATCGAACATGTGGTTTCAACGAGCATCTTTTATTTGATATTCTCTATTTTTTTTTTTTTAACTATCCTTACTCAGGAGGATAGTTCGAAACTTTGATCAAATTCCGAGGATGGATTTAAAGAAGGTGCAGCTTCTCGAGGCCAAGTAGTACTATGTTCCATACTTCAAGTACGACATATCAAATACTAATTACTTGACGAATAACGAAAGCTGCGTGTTTCTTACTCGTTATTCGAGATTTTTGCCCATCTCAGAATGGACTTCAGAATTTGATAAAGAGGAGAAGTGAGGATCAGTGGGGTTTGAGAAAAGAGGGTTGAAAGCTTGTTAGAAATAGGATGAGAAACAGAGTGAGAAATATTTGCAAAAAAGACTTGTCCCCGCCTCCACACCGCACGCGAACCTTACCTTTCGGATTCCTCGAATTGCTTAATTAATGGACGTAACATCATCACGTTACTTTGTTTAATTATTGGACGTAACACCCGTGCGGTAAGTTGAAATCATTTCTGTGCGTGTGTAGACGTGCGTGCCCGTTTCTCGATCGTTTGTTCGATCGATCATCGAGGGTAGGACTATGTCGTATATAGAAAAAGAAAAGTGTGAGAGAAATTAAACGGCGCAAGCGTTACAAAATCTTGCCCCGCCGAGTGCTCTGTTTCGAGGGCAAAATTCTTAATCGAATAACGAAAAAAGTTAGGGATCCATTCCACATCGAATCAAATTTAGAATCGTAATCGTAGAATGGATCGTGCTGTTAGATTTATTCGTTATGCATTATTCGAATAAAATTTTGCCCATGGCGGACACGCACTTCTCTCGTGTCTGTCGTAATTTTGTTCGATATTGCGTTTCGCTGTAATTCTGGGAATGGAGGAACGATTCGAAGTACAAGGACACCATTGTGCATATCGAATAAATTAATTTAGCGAAACGTCTCGCAATTAAGTGTAATTCCCAGTGTACGGCAAATAGTTGGCAGATTTAAATGGTGTTTTATCAAAACGAGAGTCTATAGAATAAGTCGGTTGTTTGTCCATCCTCCATGGAATTATTCGAGTGAATTGCAATACCAACAAATCGAATACAGACCGCGAAAACTCTCACGAATCTCCATTCACCGCTCTTCTACCTCTATTGTGCTTCCCATAAAAAAATAATTTCGTCTGTCTCTGACAAGAAGGCGGAAAGAACGTCGCTCGCTTCGTTCAATGCCCATGTTCAATGCCCATGTTCGATTTAACCCTTTCAGCCTCCAATAATGCTGTACCGAAGGCAATCATTTCCGTACCAGTCTGGGCTCGTTAACCTCTGTCGTTTATATTTAACTCTGAAATGCTATAGCTAGGTACTCCATTATTACTCGTTCATTTTTGTTTCGGTCATTTCTAAGAGTTGGTAGCTGTTAACTTGTTTATGGCAATCATCTGGTAAGGACCTAACAGGTTTGAACTTGCTCTAAGCGTTCGAGTTATTTAAACTCTCATTTTTCATGGGTTGCACAGTTCCTCTTTACAGGTATAGCATCGCAGAGTAAATTAATACCGCTTCTCAGTTTTCTTCCACTAGTTTCTTCGAACAGGTATTTTTACTTTAGGAATACCAAGCAAGCATTGAATTAGGGCTGAAAGGATTAGCTGTCCGTCGATCATCAACGCGAATTATTTAAGTAATAGCTAATAACAATCTACGACCAGGTACGAGTTCTGTCTTCGCTGATGCGCGCCGCGAGAAACTTGGGAATCGGAGTCTCCGGGGCGAGGCTACAGAGAACGTTTGAGCAACCTTCTCCTACAAATATTTCAACGATCCATAGGTCTGGTACTCTCACTCGCGGAATAGCTTTCAGTGGCGCAAGCTAAAACGCCCAGAAAAAATTTCTTTCTCTTTTTCTCTTCGCGGCCTGTTTAAAAAACGAACGTTCGACCGATGCTCGAGCCTCGAAGCGTTTCTGTAGCCTCAGCCAGGAGCTCTGGTCTGGCGCGCACCGCTCCGTCGAGACTAAAGTGTCGATCTGAAAATATTTTCTCCTTCGGCGCATACCAAACAATGGTTCCGGTCTCTGTTTCCGTCCGCGAGTCGCCCACGGACGTTTGTGTAAACTGTGAGATGCCCGTCGACTAAACCGTCACCCTGTACAGGGTATCTCAACGATCGTAGTGTTCTTCATGCGTGCATGGTTCGAAAACGTGGGACACATTTTTATTGTAGCTACTTCGGTTACCGAGGGAACTTGTATTCAAAATCTGTCGGATTTTCACATTACTCAGCTTGTTATTTTACGTAGTTTTTCAGCCTGGAAAGCTTAATTGCCAAGACTGCGGTGGTAGTCTGTATGCAACACGTGACAACATCTTGGAAAATGACTTAATAGTAATTCTACGGAATCCTTTTGGTAATAATAAGCATCTGTATTTGTTCACCGGGCGGGGTGGATTCTAAATTATACAAAAAACGTCCATATCCAACAGATTTTCAATTTCCTCGAGATCGCGAGGTCAAACAAAAAATATTCATTCCACATTTTCGACTCGTTGTCGCATATGGAATCGCCTTACTTTCAGTTGGCCACCCTGTATAGAACGCAACGAGTCTCGTTTCAAACATTCGAGCGAGGGTTCGATCGGTCCGCAGTCTTTGCTGCTGGCGCGAACGTAATCTTTGCTGAAACGCTGGGTCGGTTTGGTCTGGACTTGGGCGTTTAGCTAAACATCATCGTTCGACAACGAGGCGTTATGTAAAATCTGATTTCCGAGTTTCTTTTTCGGGAATGTATACAGGAACGAGCGTTCCGATCGGCTGGTTAATGGTTCGTCGAAGCTCGAGAGACTGTCCGAAGCCTCGAACGGGAGCAGACCCTGGATTCTCCGGCGAATACAAGATACACCTTTCAACGTCGGCTCTGGAACGTTGCAAGTTTACCTTAATGGCTCGTCGGGGCTGGATTTCACAGTCAACAAGCTTACCGCCCGAGCAGCTTCGAAATTGGCTCGCTTGCACGGGCAACGTTACATCCCGAGCGACATTAAGCTCTGTGTGCCATGGGCACATAGCTGCGCGAGCCTCGCACATTTGCGCCCGTATTTATGCAACCATAGCAAATTACAGCAAACTCGTGCAGTTTATTCTGGCCTTTCGTTTGCGTTGAAGTTAAGGAAGTTACGTTTTGCGTTAAATCCGCGATTACGCCTCTGAAATTGTCAAAAATTCAAGAACTGGTCGTCTCCATATTTGCCCACAAAATTTAAAAACTACCGACACTATCGTTTAGGGCGAATTGTCATTTGTACACGCGAGGAAAGACCAGTTTTCCTCGAAAACTGCACTATATGGATTTTTTAAATATTTTTTTCATACTAATTGTAGTCCAAGCTAATCCCAAAAATTAAATTACGTTAGTACGAGACAAAAAAATAATGTTAAAATAATGAAACACGGACGCAAGCGTTTAAGGTGCATCGCGTGAAATCCACCAGGTATCTCGATCTCAATCGCTAAGATTAGCTTTACTAAACAGCCCCGTTAATGTTGTTCCAGTCCCCCTTTCCCCGTCCCGATGTTATCAGGCGCACCAGCCGTTTTCATCCCCATTTTCGTCGCTGAGACATCCAGGATCCAGTTCGCGAACCGTCTCTCGGCTCTCGTTGATCGCGAAACGCGGCGCCAAGCTTCGTTACTCTCGCTGTCGCAGTGTGTACATTATTATTATTATACTTATACTCATAGGGTTGCGCGGCCCTTTGGCGTTGCGGCGAAGGCGGGGACCGTCCGGCCTGCGTCCTGGGATGGCATGCACAGAACACAGCACAAAATGCCACACAGTTACACAGAGACAGACAAATCGACAGAGAAGAAAAAGATACAGATAAAGAAAACGGGGGTTGGTGGGATTGCGGGGCGAGGAGGGTGGGCAGGTGATTAATATTCGTATCGGTGCTAGGGAGGTTAGACGCGTTAGGGGGTGGATCAGTGGCGTTTAGATGAGTAGACGTTGGAGAATGGTGTCCTCCTTCGATACCCTTGGTCGACGGGATGTTCGAGGCTCGTGAGACGGAGAATTAAAAATAGAGGTAGTTCATGATCCAAGCGTTTAGTTTATTAGAATGGTTCTCAAGAAATGTCCATGTTTAGAAAGAATTTTTCATTAGCCAGTGCACAGTACCTTTACTGAGTTTACAGTGGGTACAGTTTCCACAAAAATTTGTTTGGGAAATGGATCGGTGTACGAATACATTCTACGTTCACCGTATATCGACAAAGTCATCGAGAATTTGATCTCTAGTTGGCCAAGTCCTCGTCGAGAACTTGAAATAACTACAAAAAACAGCTAATAACTATAAAACGATGCATATCAAAACAACTACGGTATCGTCTAACCTTCTATCATAGAAAATTGCGGAAGTAAAAATGAAAAAGATATAGCTTCTACGATAACTACGGAGTATCGACGCGATAAAATTCGGGAACGTTTTAATAAATTGAACGCTTTCGGCCACGAACGACTTCGATTTTCATCCTCGACGATCGAGCGATTCTTGCGATTAATGACTTTGATTGGACGAGAAATGCCGATCGTGGAGAAAATCGGAACGCGGGAGTGCACACCTAATTACGTTCGCTAGGCTAGTAGACTACTATGCTAGTAGAAAATATGACGAGGCAGAGTCGAGGAATCGAATGGTCCAGACACAGATCTGCGAAACCGTCGGGAGTTTTCGGTAAAAGCATTTGGCCTACGTGATCGGTGAAATTCTCCGGTTTAGGTGGCTCGCTGAACGATTACGTCGCCGCGATGGTATTTCCTTTCGTGAGAAAACTCTCTCTCCGACCGCGAGATATAGGTGGCTATAAATTCGTAAACCGTGTTCTCGCGGGAAGCGTGAATGAACGAGTAACAGCGAACGATTGTTATCTTGTTTAACGTTCAGGGGGTATTTTTGTACGACACTCCGCGGAAAACCGTCTCGTCGCCCGTTTCGCCGAAAAGACCCGTCCGTGGCGAACAGAGGAAACTTTGGTGAGTAGACTCGTGATAAACGCCTAAATGATGCACTAAAGGGAGACCGGGCGGAAAAGAAGTTACGAGTTTGGATCCTTCGCATAGTTCGACGCTCGTGGTAACTGGGAGGAATGCGCGTAATACGTTCGATTAAAATACGTGTCACAACCAGGGTGTGAAATTCTTTGGAATATAATATAAAGTGTAATGTACAAAGGAAGATACATGTTACGATAAACGTGTGGGGTACAAAGTTGCAAACATAGAGTATACGATATTAATAGTCATGGTTGACAGCCAAAGGGAAAATTTACGCGTGCTAGACATGTATGAAAACAAAAGTGTCGAAAATGCAATATAAATCTCCAAATGTACAGGTCTCCTGAATGGTATGCATAACATTCTATAAACATTCTAAAAACTACAGGAAAGAAACACTCGATTCTCTAGATTTGATTTCGAACGTGTCCCATCAAATCAGCCTAATTACACCGTTTCATTTGTTCATTCGATGAATAAGCTTTCGCGAAAGTTCACGACTAAACAAGAGCGTCGTCTAAACCGTCTAAGTCTAAGGTTTATTCAATTTATTGTTTTCCGTCTGGCCCGAGGCAGGCGTCCGTCGAAGTCTAAACTACCCATCCTCGAACTGGAATAAAAATATTTATCCATCGCGTCGAGAGATCCGAAACACTCGCAACTCCTTTTTCGAGGCTCGTGACGCAAGTGCCAGGACGACGGTGTTGCGTGACGTATAGAGAAAAAAGGAATATAAATATAATACCTATATCGTTGATAGTAACTACGAAAAGAGGAAAACTCACCTTCGGCATACCGCCACCCCCGCCGCCACCGCCGCCGCCACCACCACCGGATGCGATCGAGCCGCGTCCGGGAGTGACGTAGAGGCTCTCTGTACGCTTAGGCTGTCCCTGGCTCGGCAGGATGTCCTGTCCAAGGCCGCGATTCTTGAGCAGAGCCCCCTCGAATTGGCTGGAGGTCGAGGCGGCGTATGTCGGCGTCGCGGTGCCGCTTCCCACCACGGATCCGTTCAGCGGAGTGCCCGAGCGAATCGCGCTTGGTGCTCTCGTTGATCTGCGTTCAAAGACGACGCGTCAATCGGGATCGTTATCGTTATCGAATGAAGGGTTTTCATTTGTTGGCGTATACGTGGAGTATGCCAGTGTTACTTTAGGGAACCACAGAGTCCTTTTCCCGAGATAAAATTGAAAATTCACGATGTCAGGATCGCGTAACAGTTTTGAATCGAAGTCGAGGAACGCTTTAATCACCTGTCGAGCATATCTTGGGGCGGATTCGTGATGGTTTTATCGACGGACGGCTGTCTCGATCCAGTCAACCGGGAATGCGCTCTGGCGTAGCGGTCTACGGAACTGTCGCGGCTGGGCGGCCTCTTGTAATGGTCTAATCTGTAAAAAGATAAATCGAAATCCATCCGGTTAAATACTCGCCGTTCGAAATCGCGAGGAAGCGATCCGTTTCCAAATGCAAGTGAAACCATCGATCTCTAGAGCCACTGAAAACTCGACTCTAGGTTCCACTTGAATTGTATCGCGTTTGGATCTTCGATTCAATTAATTTCTTGACTGATTAACTCGAGACCTGTCGTTTAGCGTTTGCCCAATGGTGCCGGGTCGATCCTGAGGCGTCAAGATCCTGCTATTCCTTCGTATACTCGTTGAACTCGGTGGTCGTTGCGGGTCCCCGTCAGGTTGGTATTGTTGTGGAATTTGCGTTTGTTGTTGGGGCGGTGGTTGTTGCTGCTGGCCGTAAAGTTGCTGCGAATTGTACTGGTTCATTTGTCCTGGACCGTACTGATTCGGCATCGTCTGCAACGACGGGATAGAGTCGATTTTAATGTTTGCTCGAAGGGACACAGGTAAACGAAACGGCGTAAAAAGAGTCACGAAGCAGTTCCTTGGTTAACCGTGTGGTCGTTGGGACATTAGCCTTCGGGAACACGTGCGCCCTAACGGTTAGGTATCGGGGGGCTAAAACAACACTGGTCAGTAGGCGGACGTCGATGAGTGATCATTCGGGGCATTATCGTGAGAAAAAGGGGGAAAACGCAAAAAATCGAATTAGATTCGTCACCTGCTGATTCGGATAAGCCTGCATATTCTGGTAGCCTTGCGGGCTAACCGGCTGCTGTTGATACGAATACTGATCGGCCTGAGGTGGACTCATAGGCTGGTACTGCGGCTGACCGTACGGACTACCCTGAACAGGGAACTGATTTTGCGGGGCGTACGGGCTACCCTGAAACTGGCCCATTTGCTGATACTGATTCGGTATACTGTTAGGATACTGGCCCTGTTGGAGAGGATTCTGAGCCATCGGCTGGGGGTACTGCGTTTGGTAAGGGTTCTGATCGCTCAGGGTAGTCTGATTCAACTGACTCAGTGGCAACTGGTTGATGAGCTGAGCGGGAGTCACCTGAGTCGGTATCTGATCGTGCGTGAGCTGGTTCTGCGGCAGGGGGTTCTGCGGCATCTGGTTCTGGAGCAGTTGATTCTGCATCATCTGATTCTGCGGCTTCATGCTGGCCCTCCTGATCGATTGCATCACGTTGCTCGCGGTGGAAGTCGCCGACGTGGCCGTTGTCGAGGTCGGCTCGCCCGTCGAGGTGGGACCCTTCGTTGAACCTGGCTGATCCACGCTGGCCGACTTGTGAAGGATGCTCTTCGCAGGCACTGTGTCCTGAGGAGGCGGCACGTACTTTGGTATCTCTCTGTTCCGTAACCTCTCCAATCCAGGTTGCCTGAAGTCCGGAGCGAATTGCTTCGCTGTTTGTTGCGCCAACTCGGAGTCCTCCCTCGCGTGCTCGGCGGCGATGTCTGCCAGCTCGGCTCTGCCGCGCGCTGTCGCTGTTCTCGAGATGGCGATGTCGGCTTTCTGAAGAGCGATCTTGCTGGCTCTTTGAGCAGCGTTCACCGCTGCCTCTATCCTCTCGCGAAACTTTGCTGATCTTATGAGGAACAGGTGCTTCTTCTTCTGGCTGGTGATCAGGACGTTGTTCTTGTACTTGCCCTCCTCCTTGGTGCCGTCGCGAAACGTCGTCACGCCGTAGCCGTACTTTCGATTGTTGAACCACTCGCCTTCGTAGCGCAGCCCGTCGCTGCGCTCCGATATACCGAAGCCTGTCCTCCTGTCGTTCTTCCACTCGCCCAGGTAGGTCTCGGTCACGGAGGCGTCCATCTGTTCGTCCTGAGAACAAAAGTGTTTGTATAAAAGGACTCTAGTTACAGTGCCACTGTACCACTCGAAAGAGACTCACCTCGATGACAAAGGACGCGTTACTGTCCGTGTGGACGGACGCCGATGCTTGACTCTGCGAGCTCTCCGTCGACATCCACGACGCCGAGCTAGCGTTGCTTCTAATACTGCCCCCGGTGCCGCGCTTTTCTAGGTCGCCCGTGCTCCTTTGTTTTCGGATTTTTAGACCCTGGAATTGTTTTCATCCTTCAAACGTCTGTCGCGCTTGAAAGTTCATCGCGAGGGATTCAGTTTTAGGCAGAGAATACGAATCGACGCGCGAGCTCGTTGATTGGGGGAAGAGGGAGCGTTAACACGCTGTTGGCCGCCAATTTTACACAGAAGCGACTCGATGTCGTTGAATTTAAATGAAATATTTCTCATACACGATGAGCAATATTTTTGCAATATTTTATGTCGTCCTGGGTTTCATAAACTGAAATAGATGATACAGGTGCAAACACGAGTCAACTCGTGACCGGTCAACAATGTGTTAATGACAGGATCGAAAGTAGGCTTTACCGAGAGGATGCCCTTCTTCAAGGACTTCTCTGTGAGGCTTTTCCTCCGCGCAGGAGGGTCGTCGCTCCTGGCCTTCAACACGAAACCACCCCTGCTGTCGTCCACCCGACGATCCCTTCTGTCCGTTGGTTCCGGGGTCGGGGCTGTCGGTCCACCGCCATCCGCGCTCCTCAAGGATGTTAGAGAAGCCCTGACTTGCTTCGACGGTTTGTAGTGACTCGCTAAACCGAACGGGGCGCTGGCTCTCACGCCGTATCCGTGTCTCATCCCGCGGTACCATTGACCTTGATACGTGCCTGCAAAAAGATCACCCTTCCGTTAATCAGTTGACCTTAATCACTCTCGTATCGCTGAAACGATCTCCCGCCTTGTTATTCCTGAGATCGTCTCGACAAATTTAATCTGTGTAGGTCACTGGCTCGCGAGGGAGCATCGGGGACTGTCTGCATTAACCCTTTCCACTCGAAGTCTTTCTTCGAGTTTCAAAGAAATTACACCTAAAGAAACATTACTGCTGATAGATTTGCTGCGTGGAACTTAGCGGTGACTGAGAGATGTGCACTTGGTAGCAAGGTCCATTACTTCTATCAAAACGTGACAGTGCTTCGAAATGTCCCGCCTGAGTCACGCGGTCCACGCGCGAAACAAAACGTGTTACAGGGATGGAATTGCCCTGAGAGACGTGTGGGTGAGTGCCTCTTCGGGGAAAATGTAAATTCCTCGTCGATGAGATACCGCAGACCGTCTGCAGACCGCCGGTGTAACCGGATGGACGATGATCGTAAAACCGCGTCATTAACGACCACGCTGCTGTTTCGTGGAAGAATTTCACTCTTTGTTGAACGTTAGGCACTCACGTCTCGCACTCATTCGCCTTTTACTTACCTTCCCTTCTCATCTTGGCTAGCCAATCGCAAATGTTTCAATGGCTATATTCGCATTCAGAGTTTTTACGTATAATTCCGTTTTCTTTCACATATTGCATGCTATCGAACTGTCAATTGCATTGATTTATGGCGTGTGATAATATGGAAATGTATGCAAAATGTATCTAAAATATATTTGATACATAAATATATGAATATTAATGTTTCCTCTTGGGCGAGGACATGCATTTTGGATACTATTATCGCGAATATTTGCCATATTCGCGTACGCCATAAATGCATGAAATTAGCAGTCCACGTATTATTTCCATGTCCTCGCGTTCCACTGTTTTCGCGTTTAGTTTTATTGTTATGTTACGCGAACCTCTTTGGAAAAAGTATTTCGTTACTGGCCGGAACAAAGCATGCGTCGAACAAGCAGTTTTCAGTAGTCGGTAATGATCAACAAAGTGGTCGCGACTCTCGAAAGCGTTTCCACTTCGCGCCGACCCCTCCATTATTCAACCAACAATAAACATCAAAATCTCTTGTATTCGCAAAGCATTAAAAAAGTGTCACGTTTGCAACAGAAACGAAGCATTTCCCTCTTTATGCGAAGAACTACGAGCTTTCGATACGTTCGACGACTCCATCGTCTTTTAGTATGTAGATCAGACTTCCTATCCATTTCCTTCGTACTTTTCATTAGAATTCGTCGAAATCGTTTTACAGACGAATAATGCTTTGTTTGCGATTTTTAGACAGTGCCACAGATTTTGTCCACGTCTCCCTCGATACAGGGCGATCTATCGTGCGTTTAGCGAGGTGGGAGGCTCGTCTCCAGCTGATCGATCGCGCAGCAGCCTCGTTTCAGAAAAGCAACGGCCAGGGGAGAGGGCTAGGGAAATGGAGTCTGCGGACGGGCATTATTGCAGCCGACTGTACGTATGGAAACGGCTGACTCCCTTCCAAGCGGAATATTATTTCGCCAGGCGTTTAAGCAAGTGGGTCACGCCGTGGTTCTCGACACGCTTCGACTGCCGATGCGAGCCTCGAGTCCACGAAATTCCACGCTCGAGTCTAAGCACGCGCCTCCTTCTTTCCACCTTTAATTAATTTCGCCATCGATTCGGCAACCACTTACCCGATCCTCCATCGACGGTTCGTTTTCGCGCCTCGAGTTCAATTCGGCGCCAACGCTTGTATTTGCTCGCCTTCTTTAGAAGATGAGGGCCTTCAAAATATTCTGGAGAATTCAGCGACGGCCCGAGGGTAATTGGCAGTCATTTTGCACGGAGATTGGGTTCGATTGTTTACGCAGGGTGTCACGTTTATATTCGATTTACGGTGCGTGTCTTCCAGATTAAATATTTGGGAGAAATAGAGGAACCACGTTTATATATTCGCAGAATTTTATCCATGACATCACCATTAATCAGCAGTGCTCTCTCGGACGGCATCGTTATTAGTTATTAATTATTTTCTGCTTCATTGTCGAGACACGACGGCACACGTGATAGATCGTTTTGCATCCAATCGATCATCCTGGCTACACTAATCGCTCCGTGGAAAATAGAATCAACCTATATTAGAGGTTTAAAAGCGGGATTAAACTTAAAACAATTATTAACAATGCTTTTGCTCCAAGTTTCACCGACGATTAACCCTCCTCTCCTTAGGTGGGTCCGACCTTACCACCTAAAAACGCATTTGTCACGTACAAATAGGGATATTGCTCACTAAAAAAAACTTCTTTTTTAAAATCAAATTAATTTCTATTTATAACAATTGGGTGATTTCAGTCTGACTGAGTTCAGCTTTTGGCCCGACTGGAGGAGAGAAAGGTTTAAAGAGGAGGCTAATTGTATCGATAAATCAATTTTTTTCTTTCTCCTCTAACATCACAGATCTGTATCTAACATCAGTATGCATTCTCCTGGTTCTATCGTCAAAGTTGAAAAGTAGCAGCAATAAAACGTGATATAGCTTGAATCGGTAAACATTTGCGCAAGATTCGATGAAAATCGGGGCTGTCGGTTAGCAGTGTCCCGTGGCGTAGGGGATCGAGATCAAAGTCGCTGGTAGCAACGGAGACTCGGCTATTCAGGTCAACTCTTGCTCGTCTCTCGGAGACGCCTCGGGGCAAAAAGTCCCGTCGACGACGTCTCGCTGTCCCCGGGTTCTTAACGACTTCGGGGCAGACGTCGCGATACAGGCCACGCGGACACCGTTCGCGGGAAAGTGGTCCTCGTGGTCGAAAAAAAAAAGAAAAAAAAAAAAAGAAATAAAACGTGCGCCCATATCAATTCGTCCTTCCAACGACCCAGATTAATTATTGTCGAGCTTCTAATTTCGCGACGCCCCGTCTGCCCGCCGTCTGTTTCTTTTGGCGCGACGAAAGAGCGAAAGAGCGTTTCTCTCTCACTCGCGGAAACTTTTACTGGTTATTGAATTTCTGTCGACTCGGCTTTTTCCTCTCCCCCCCTTCCCCCTCCCCTCCTCCTCCTCCTCGACGCTTGCTCCATTTCGCGGAGCTCGTTCTCAAGAAGTATCGAATTTCTCGCTTTTGTAGTCCGTTTCCCGACTTTGTTTCGATTCCAGTTTTTACCGATCGCTGTACAACACTTTTTTTGTTATTTTCTCGTTAAAGGAACCGAACGTTCGTACCACTTTCGTTTCTTCGACGCCTCTTCGTGGATTTCCTTCGCGGTGGTGTCGAGTTTCGTGCCTCTAGAGCTGTGCATTGCAAACTTCGTCCCCTTCTTCGAGGAGAAGGTACATTCTTGGATGAGGACATTGTCGTTGAACGTTTCGGGATTGTGCTGTTTTTCGAAACAGTGTTTTCTTTTTCGAGAAGCTGAACGAAGGGTGGGACAATTTTTAGCTGAACCTGTTTCCTACGCGTTACGAGGGCGAGCACCCTTTCTGACTAATATCCGAGGCGTCGAGGTGCAAATTTTAATTCAACGCAAGCTGGATATTACCAGTGCCCGAACACCAGAAGAGGGGAGCATCTCGTGTAAAAATAATCATCGGATGAATTTCGCCGCTGAAAAATTTACGGCCAGTGTCTGCCTTTTTTCCATCCGCCCGTGTATAACCAGAAAATCTTCTCGGCCTACCGTGAATCAGAGATAGAAGGAATTTTATTCTACTCTCTTTACCCTGTACTCCATTTTCACTTGATTATCAAAAATTGGGATTCTCCCTCCATCCTAGTAGACGACCCTATTCTCGACGAGCTTACGAGATACGAGCTTTACGAATTGATCGCAGGGGTGAGTCGTTGCATGATCGCGACGGATAGCGATCGAATAGACATCGATGTCGATGATCGAACGATATTCGAGGAACAGCGAGCGCGTGCTCCACGCATGACGCTCGATAGTACTAAGACATATGACTCATAGAACTTCGTTTATGTGAACAAAATCATGCTTAGACTCGGATATACGATCTCGTAGCTGAGACCTATAATATGTAACCTCCGTAGCTTCTATTATCTTAACCATGACCGAGCTTGGAGGTCCATGGTGAAGGATTCATGAAGAGGATAGCTTGTGTATCTCTGTTATTGTAGAACCTCATTTATACGAACAAAATTAGGCTCAGACTCGAATATACGAACTCGTAGTTGAGTCCAGTACCATCTAGACCTCTGTACCTGAGCTCAGTACCTGCTAGTCCTCCATAGCTGAGCTCAGTATCCTCTAACCCCCTATAGCTGAGCCTAGTAGCCTCTAGCCTCCCATAGCTCGAAGCCTCAAATCTGTTCTCCAGCAGGGTCGAGGACCTTTTCTCATTTGTCTTTTCTTACTGCTAGAGTTTGGTACAGTTTCGCCAAGGATTGAACCTGAATTTCGAACAGTGATCTTTTTGGAAGAGAAATCGGTGGGTTGCGGGTAAACAAAAGTCGTCGTACGGACCTGTCTCGCTACATGGCACTGGCTGGCCCGCCTGAAATAGCGCGGCCACCTTCTGAGATGGTGGTCGCCTACACGTGCAATGGAAATCGCGTTTGTGCCAGTGAGAATTGGCCGTGCGAGTGTATTTCGGTACGCAGCCTCCACCGGATCGTCACCAACCACCCCACGGGCTTGTCGTTCTCATCTGTTTGTTTCTCTCGAATGCTCCTCGATACCTGAACGCACCTTGCCCTGCTGCCAGGTCGGATTTCGCACCTGACCTCGCTCTTTTGTCTACCCTTGTAATCGGATTTCGTGCACCAATTGAACGGAATCGTTCGAGGTGTGTGTCGGGTGAGATTCTGAGGTTGACACCTCGAGAGATTTCCGAGGGAATGTGCGCAAGGACGTAGAGAAATGAATTAATGAATCGTTGAACGGAAGTACAATTTAGAGATGTACGTGTACAGGGTGTTTAACTAGAAAATATTTAGTAGAGAATATTTTAGAGGATGATGTTTACTT